TAAATAATAGAAAGAATTTTAAATATAATAGAAAGGAAAAAAACTAAGTTTAGATTTAGACAAAAGACGGGCAAATTCAATAGAAATAATTTTAGCTAAATTACAAAAATAAACTTTAAATTATTTATGAATAATCACTGGTCGCTGTCCGCGACATTCCCGCCCGCGTCTTGAATGTTCATCCTCAATTTCTTTTTTATCTTCCTTCCTTCGATTATTTTCTTTCTTTTCTTAATCTTCGGCACTTCAGTCATTGGACATTTTCTGTTCTCTTTCAATGCATGCGCCCAACCATCCATAGTATTGAACAAAATAGCGACAAGGATCCAGCCTGGATTGATCGCGACAACGCCGGTGAACAGTGTTAAGGCTATCGAAGATTGAAGTAAGCTTTTTATGCGTGCTTTAGTTCGGCCATGTTTAAAGGTCGCTTTCTGTTCCATCTTTTCTTTTGTTTTACATTTCCAAAGTTTATTGGCTGCGCGGATCAACATCCTCAGAGCATCTTTAGTGCCATCTAGAATCACAACAAGAGCGGCTAAGACCATTACGAACATTTTCATATCTATCCATGAGCGGAAAAAGGAAAAGAAATCTGGTGGTTCCAGTCTTTCTCGTTTTATGCATTTTCTACGGTAGACGTGCACTTCACGTTTGAGCTTACCATTTTTGGCAATCAATTCTTGGTTAGCCTTCTGAAGGGCATTGACACGAGTTTCTTTCAGAATTCTTTTTTCATGAGCATCCACCATCCTCTGATTAGATTTATCCAATAGACATTTTAGACGTTTAGCTTTTTTGGATTCATCCTCGGCCTTTTTGCGAGCCAACATAAGTTCGGACATCAATTTCACTATCTTTTTATCCTTCTCTTGGAGGGCTTTCGTCTTTTCATCCAGCATCTTTTTTGATTCAAACATCCCAGCCGGCTTCGAACAATGAACATAGCTTTTTTGCATAGGTTCCAACATTTGAGTTTTTGGCATACGTGAATAGCAAACCATGAAGTGGTGCTTTCCGTGACACTTACTGCAACGTCGATTATTTTGGCAATCAAAGGTTAGATGGTCATCCCTCAGGCAGTTAAGGCAACGGTGCTGCTCAAGTAATTTATATTTCCTCGCTTTGGGGTTGCTATATTTTGTACAATGGCTCGGAAGGTGGTTCCCTCTACATAATGAGCACTCCAGGCAACGGTTCTGTTCTACCATTCGATATTTATTAACCATAGGCGGCTGTGGCGTAGGTGACGGATTGTCCGGGAGCCTTGCCGTAGGCGGCTCAAGCGTTTTCCCATTTTGGCCTCCAAGATCGTCTGTACAGTTATCTGACGATTTGTTCATTTCAGATGGGCGAGGACTGTCTGCATTCTCCTCTGACGCATTTTCCGGGAGCCGGCCAAGATCCTCCATAATTAGTCCAATTGAAACCGCCATTTGTCGGGCAAATTCGCATTGGGTAACAAAGTGCTGTTGAGAGAGTAGGAAGTCTGCCATGAACTCATAAGAAGGTTCGTTAAATGGAAAATCCCTGTATAAATCTTCTTCAGCTAATTTCTTTAGACCATGCAGTTTGGACATATGTTTGTTCCATTGGAGGTCGAGCTTCTCTATTTTAGAAATAGTTTCCAACAAATGTGATTTTTCAACATCTAGCAAACGGTAGGTGTTAGCGTCTTGTTCCATCTTCATTATACGCATAGCCTCTACAGAATAGAATTGCATCTCGCTCAGAGCGACCAACAAATTAGTTCGGATTTTTACTGACATTATCGTCACACAGATAAGCGGCAAGTGGCTTCAAAAGTTGCAACAGTAGATAAAGTAAGATTCCAACAATAGATCAAAAGTTTAGGCAATTGGCTCTTCTTGAATTGAACACAGGCTGCTCGGGGTTGTGATGCTGCACGAATGCTAGACCACAAGGTTCCCGGCCGTTGCACCAAAAAATATATAGCAAACAAATAGAGCCAATACACAAATAGGGGGCAAAAGCTGGATTAGGCCAAAAGATTCCAACACAATTGGCCAAGGGTTTAGTACCAACAAATCAATTCAGCAAAAGCTTTTGCTTGGATTAGGCCAAAAGATTCCAACACAGTTGGCCGAGGGATTTGACCACCAAATAAATTAAAACCAAACAAATAGTAAAAGTTTATTTCACACAAATAATATAGTCCAACAAATAGATCAATGATAAGGCCACAAATAGGAACCAGAGCCAGAGAGAAAGAAGCACGCCACAACAGAACCCAGAATCAAAGCAAGACAGAAGCTAATTGGGGTTTGGAGGTGGAGATTATATAGGCCAGAAAAATAGGCGGGTAGACAAAGTTAAAGGTAAACAACATTCCAAAAGTGGGCAAAAAATATAAGTTAATGAATGGCGGCTGGTACATAAAAAGGGAATTAGACAGATGCGCTTAGTTAAATAATAGAAAGAATTTTAAATATAATAGAAAGGAAAAAAACTAAGTTTAGATTTAGACAAAAGACGGGCAAATTCAATAGAAATAATTTTAGCTAAATTACAAAAATAAACTTTAAATTATTTATGAATAATCACTGGTCGCTGTCCGCGACATCTGTTGTGTTTGAGTATTAGTCTGTTGTGTCACAGTTGGATTTCCAGTTGACGGACCAGCTGTGCTTGATGGTGCTCCTGTTGTTTCTGGAGTCACAGATGGATTTCCAGTTGTAGGGCCAGCTGTACTAGTTGAAGCTGCTGTTGTTGTTATAGTTTGTGCTATAGTAGTTGTCATTTGAACAGTCGATGTAACGCCAGGAGAGGTTTCCCATGTGCAAGTACATATTGGGGGAGTTGTTGGTGGTTGACATGTTTGCGTGCTAACCCCAATTATATATTATTGCCCAAAGTATTTGGAATTGAATTAATTTCTTCATTTTATTTTGGGCTTTTTCACCAATTGGTTTTATTGAATTGAATGTTATTGTTATAGATACCTCCGTGTTGATCCTTGTTTATATACAACATTTAATGCTTTAACACGTCTTCTTAACTTTCTTTTAATTTTTTGTCAAATGTTGCGTTGGCATTTGGGTTGGGACATAATTTTTTGTATCTTTTTATCTTTTTTTTGTTATGAGTTTCATTTTGGTCGTTCCTTATTTTGATAAGACTGTGTTTTGGCTGTTACGTGTTTTGGAATTTCTCATTTTATCCTTCTCTTTCTAGCTTCAATAATTATTTTTCCACGTTATATTTAGTGTTTTTAAGCTATATTTTGTTCTAAATTATCACAACAAAGGTCTAAATTATCAGAATCTTTTCCTCCTCCAATTTCTTTTTTCTATTCTTCTTCTAACAATAAGTTTAAGGAATATTGTAAATCCAAACTCTTATCCATTTCAATTCCAATTTTAACCCCTTCACAAAATGTGTCTTAATTCTAATTTTCTCTTCAATATTGTTACGATCAAAACACAAAAATATTTTTTCAAAAAATTTTGTTTAATTTTTATTACTTTATTTGTTACATATTTTTAAAAAATGTATATTTATTTGTTTATTGTTATTTCCTGGTCTTTAAAAATTATTTTCTTGTTGTCATCTAAATTTTATTTTAAATGTAGTCATCATTTTCTTATAATTTTTATGTTTGTGTTAATTTCATGTTTTGCATGTGGATATTCCACGAATGCGTCCAGCTTTTCTGATTATTTTTTTTCGGGACACGACCATAACAACGCAAAATGCTTCATGATTTTCGAGTCTTAACAAATATAGTACTAAACGATTCCTCTCACGAGCAAAGAGATTGTTACTAAATTTGATAAGGGCCAAAAATTTCCAGCAAGTTATGGCTTTTTGTTGTTATGCCGCACGTTGGTATACTCTTTTCCAACGAGGATTTAGCTTCATAATTTTGTTCATAATCAAAAAATCTAGCCTATCATGCTATCATCGACCCAGCTTGAAGAGTTCTTTCGAATGACTTATAATAAATTACATTATAGCAAAAAAGCTCAAAATGGTCAGGGAAACAAGAAAAAAGGGGGATGGTCATCCAACCTATTACCCTATAATCTTTTTATGATTCAACAGCAAAAACTACCTTATTTTACAAAAATTTTAACAAACAAATAATTTTATCGAAAGTTATGATAAATTTTCAACATCATGCGTTCTAAATATCCTTAAACACTTTGTAAAATTACCGATTATCACGGTTAGAAGGCAGATAAAATTTTACAAAAATTTCTGTGATCATAAATATCAATAAGTATAAAATATAAAAAAACAAGGTCGAAAACTGTCTTTTTACACCTTTTCCTCAAACCTCGGTTTTCAACGGAAAGTAAAATTTCAAAATATATTTTTGACCAATTATAGCATGTCTAAAATTTTATTTTCTACTTGTCAAATAGTCCAAATAATTAGCTATAAGATACAAAAGTATTCATCTTTCTAAAAAATTTATCCGTATCGATGTTCAAGCTTAAGAAAATACTGACCAAAAAATGCACTATTTTCGGTAAGCGGTTTTTCTAGCTTGAGCACCGGATAAATTTTACAGAAAATTTGTGTCATTTTGTATCTTGTAGCAAATTTTATGGGTTTTCAGATAGGCCTAGAGAAAATTTCTTATATATGCTTTAAATGGTTTAAAATATTTTTTAAAGTACTGTAATCCCATTTCCCGTTGATTTAAAAGATTTGAACGATCAGGGTTGAGCGCAAGAGGCAAAATTTTATTTTATTTGTTGGTAATTGTTGAAGGATTTTTTTAAAGTTATTTAAATTGTTTGAGGATATTTGGAACACATTATTTTTGAAAATTTATCATAACTTTCGATAAAATTATTGGTTTGCTAAAATTTTTTGTATAATAAGGCTAAATCAAGATACAGAGTGGTGGTCATATGTTTATAGACACCAACGATTTAATTTGTTAACTTCTTTTATTCTTAACAAACACAAACATTAAATGAAAATATGCAAATATTAAAAAGCTTATTATTTTATTTATTTGCAAAATGTCACAGAAATATGAGAGGAAGATCAACCGGAAGATCAATCCGTTTTACTATTGCTGGAGTAGGACCTGCAGTACTTGTTGAAGCTTCGGTTTCTGGAGGTACATATGGATATCCAGTAGTAGGGCCAACTGTACTTCCTGCGGTTGTCATTTGAACAGTCGATGTAACGCCAGGAGAGGTTTCCCATGTGCATGTACATATTGGGGGAGTTGTTGGTGGTTGACATGTTTGCGTGCTAACCCCAATTATTATTGCCCAAAGTATTTGTAATTGAATTAATTTCTTCATTTTGTTTAGGGCTTTTCCACCCAATTTGTTTTATTGAATTGAATGTTATTGTTATTGATACCTCTGTGTTCCTCCTTTGTTTATATACAACATTTATTCTATTCTTTAACACGTCTTCTTAACTTTCTCTTAATTTTTTGTCAAATGTTGCGTTGGCATTTATTTTAATTTATTTCCTCATTTTCCTTACAATCTTACAAAAAAATAATTTTTTGCATGCAACTTTTTCATTTTTTTGACACTCTTTTCTATAATTATTTTCCACGTTACATTTTGTGTGTCTAAAATTATCACATCATACAACCTCTCTTCCATCCTTAAATTGTAATGACAACATGACAAAAATGTAAGATTTTTTATAAGAATTTTCTCTCTTGCATACACTCTGTAAAAAAATGTTTTTTATCAATATCTTACCAAATATGAAACGGATATGTTTCAAATTTTGGCTGAATATAGTTAAGGATATTATGTATCAATATTGATGATCCTTTTGTTGGAGACCTCATCATGATTTAAAAATATTAGTGAATTTCAGTAGAAAATTGTGGTTTAATTTTTAAAATTAAAAAAAAATTTTAAATTAAAAATTGCCAAAATATATCGAAATAAAATAAATTTTCACGAGAAAAGAGCTTGCGGGGAAATTGAGCTGCGAGAACGGTGAACAGGGGCTCTGGGGGTTAGAACAATTACCTAAGTATCTTTTCTTCTTCCGTTCTTTCTATTCTTTTATGTCTAATATTTTTTTGTAAATCCAAACTCATCCATTTCAATTCCAACTCTATTTCCATCACTTAATGTGTCTTAATTCTTATTTTTTTCTTTTTTTCTATATTATAATCACAACACAAAAATATTTTTTTCAAAAATTTTGTTTAATTTTTATTACTTTATTTGTTATTTTTAAAAATTGTATATTTATTTGTTTATTATTTCCTCGTCTTTAATAATCATTTTATTGTTGGCATCTAAATTTTATTTTAAATGTTGTCATTATTTTCTTATAATTTTTTTATTTGTGTTAATTTTATGTTTTGCATGTGGATATTCCACGAATGCGTATAGCTTGTCCTGATTGTTTTTTTTCGACTTTTAGTTTAGTTTTTTAGTATATACTTTTATATTTTATTTTAAATTGGAAAAAGGCCTAAAACTAATCCCTACAAGATTTAATTTTTATTATATTCAACAAATTATTTAATAGCCGGTTAATTGTGTCGAGGAGTTCTTTCAGTTTAGTGACCGATAGGACGAGGTTTCGATCAAAAAGATTTATCAAGGTCAAATTTAGTCATGTATCAATCAAGATACCGAACTCCTCTAGTCCGGCCTCTCCTTCAGATTATTATATATAGAGATCTGACTGGGAGAGTCGTACGAGAGAGATCTCGAAAAATCGAGATCTCGAAATATTCTTGATTTCTATACCGAAATTTTTATCGAAATTTCGACTCGGTCCGGTCTCTAATTATTTGTATCGAGATCGGACTGGGAGATATACAAACAACTTTATAATTTTTAAACTTTTAAATTGGTCAAAATCTTCTTTAAATGACTAATATTCTTCATTTTATTATTCCCCCCAATTGCCTTCAATTTTTAAAAAGTCTCGGCCACTAAATTCACAAAACTCTTTCCTTTCAATATTCCCTCTGGCCCATTCATCTATCATCGCTTTTTATTAGAAAAATATATTTATTTTTATATTTAGCTTCTTCATTTTTTTTATTTTCTTCCCAAAAACAAACATTTAAGGAAAATATGCAAATATTAAAAGGATTTTTATTCTGTCTTATTCATTTTCCTTCAAATATTTAAAATAATAAATTTATTTTAATTAATTTTTTCAATTACAAAATGAAAAAAAAACTTTTTTGTTAAGATTAGGGCTGTCGTTTTGGACCGAATCGGACCAGGAACTGAGGATTTTTCGGTTCCTCGGTTCGGCTTCGATATCTGAAGAATTTCCATGAACTGACAACTCTAGTTAAGACAGTAGCTTTATTTATCCACAATCTCCCTCCGTAAACGTCTCATAGTTTCAATCTTTTTCCTAAGGTCTGTCTCTTTTCTTGAAAAAGTCTCATTTCTTGAGAAATAACCTTCAATTTCATTCCTGAATTGAGTATCTCGAACTTACTTTCATTAGCGAATAAAATTAGATCTCTTTATATTAGGCTAGCACCCCGTCCTCCGAACCCTCTACCTGACCCCTGACGAATTTTTAGGCAAAAACTCCAACGCGAACCCCGAGGTCTCTACCAGCCCCCGAAGTCACGGGGTGCTACCCTGCTTTATACTATAATTTTTTGAGAATAACTTTGGAAATCTTCTTGTAAATTCTTTTTAAATCCATTTTCTTCGAATTATTTATTGAATATTTTCTTTTTTATATTTAAAAAGGACAGATGGCCAGCCGGAAGCCAAAATTTAGTCTGCGATAATATTTTGCATTAAATGAGGTTTTTGGGTATTTGTCAGATTTCTTTTAATTTTTAATATTAATTTCAGAGCTATATCTTTAGAGTATACTAATATAATTTTGCCAAAGTTTTTTTTCGATTAATCGGATATTTTTTTCAAAATTTTTTTTTTATTTTGCCCTTGACAGAAAATAATATATTTTATTAATTTGCATATTTTTTCATTTCTTCTTGAGAGAATGAACGGTCACTTGCCCATTTTTCATTTTAAAATTTATTTCACAGCGGGCTTTGAATATTTTTTTGTTTCCCAATCCGTTCTTTTTTTTAATTTATTCATTTTTTGTATGAGATTTTTTATTTTATTTTTTTGAGAGGATCAAAAAACCCGAGAAAAGACTAAAAAATAATGAGGCTTTAAAAAGGTTGAAAGAAAGAGGAAATTAAAAAGGAGTGAAAGGTGTTGGGGGATATATGTATCGTGATAATTGAAGATTATCCCTTTTTTCTTTCTTTTGTCTGAAAAAAATTTTTTCTTTAATATTTTTTTTCTTTTTATAAATTAAAAAAATAAAGGCATAAAAATTTTATGGTAATCGAAAATTAAAGATTATGGAAAATTTTAGTTCTGATTCGAGACATGTATTACATGGAAATAGAGTTGTACCCCGAATCCTGAGGGCACGTTTTTCGGGGAGTGTTGGAGGATTACTGAGAATAATTTGTGAGTGTTATTCTGTCAGTCACCCTCAAACGCTCCCCGAAAAACGTGCCTTCAGGATTCGTGGTACAGCTCTACATGGAAATGTTGTTTTAAATTTTAATTTAAATTTCCAAATATACATATTTTGCCCCTCTTTCCTTTTCCTCTGCTTTTATTTAAATAAATTTACGAATCAAATAATTTTTTTAAAATTTATTTTCCCATTACCTTAATTGAAAAATAATTTTTAATTATAATTAAAAAAATTTGTTTGCCAACCAAAAAAAAGAACAAATTTATTTATTTACCTACATACTATAGTAGTTTTACTGAAATTGACATGCAATACAGCACTAATTTCTTCCATTTTTCTTCTATTTTTCCAAAAAAATCTTTTTTTATTTTTTTGTATATTTTTTCCCCCAAAAATACCCCCCAATTTTAGCCCATCCCCAGAGGCAACTTTCCCTTCTAGCAATTTTTAAAAACTAAAAACTACCAAAAATACTTTCCATCCCCTAAGGAAGTATTTTGCTTTTATAAATTTTCTTAAAATAAAAGACTTGGAAGGAAATAATTGTTTTATTTTCCTCAAAATGCCCTCAAAAATTTATTTTTATTTTTCTAATTTTGTGAAGGCTTTATTAAGCCGTTGGACACAAAATTGTGTGTGCGGCTCTTGAAAAAGTCAACAATTGAAAAAAATTTTTTTTGTTTAAAGACAAATAATTTTTGTAAAAATATTTTTTTGTCTTTTTGGCGGTAAATAAAAGGGAGAAGATGTTCTTCTACCTTCCCGAAGGGTAAAAACTTTTTTTTCTTACCTTTTTATTGTTTTATGGAAATAAATTTTGTGCGCATTCCTGGCTATAGGGGAAAATAAAAATAATTATCTGCAGCAATTTTGTGGAGTGTCTTTTTTAATAGAGCCGACAAAATGCATAAAATTATTGTAGGAAAGTAAAGAAAATATTTGTATATAAATAAAGATAAAAATTATTTTTTACAATAAGTCTATGAACAGAGCTATTAATTGTTAAAAATCGAAAGCTGGGAAGAGTTGGCAGGCTTTGGCACGTCTTGAGTTTTTTAGAATGGCACCAAAATTGAATTTTTATGAGACCAATCCAGGATAGGTTGGACTACCCGAAACCCAGACTTTTTTCGACACGAAAGCAGATTCAGTAAAATTTTGAATAATTCTACTTGAATAAAAAAAGAAAACCTAACCCTTGGCTTTAACAACTTAGGTACTCCGAATTATACCTCATATCAGCTCAAAAATTTTGCGGCCCTGTGTATTATTGATTAAAATTTTATTCTAAGATTAGCATTAGATTGATTAATACTTTTTAGTATTAAAAAATTATTTAAAAAAATTTTTTGCCAAATCATTCTTATTCACCAGTGCTAGGCAAATTTCGCATTTCGTGTTTCACCTATTACACATTTTTTAGTGCCAAAGTTTCGCATTTAGAATTTTATTTTTAGTTTTTGCCCAATCCTATTACCACCCTTTAAAAATTAATTAAAGTTTATCAACCATTCATAGAATGAAATACAGTAAAAATAAACCTTCCAAATTTTCAAAAAAATAAAAAATAACCTTACCTATCTCCAAATTTCATCAAATTATTTATTTTTATTGTCTTTTCATTCAAATAATAAAATTTCCTTTTTCTATTCAACATCTATTTCACTTTACTCCCCAATCCCCTAACCTATCTATAAATTTATCTGAGCGCGCGAATGTTATAATATTTATATCCTACCCATTTTAATAGCAAGGATTTTCTCTCTGTAAAGAGTGATGACATGCATAGGGAGAGATTGTTTAGAGACTTTTTAGAGGGAGGAGGATGAAGATTTTG